AGGAATGTTTATTACAAACTTGCAAAGCCAGTGGTTGGTGGGACCTGGTTTGTGAAACGCTGGTCTCCTCTGTTAATCTTTTTCTCTCTGCCAAGGCGGTTCCCACTCCTCCCTGTGGTCCAGCTCTTTTCTCTGGGTCTGTAATGCTGAGGCCCTTCCAACCACCACAGCCTCAGACTCCCCGTGGAAAACCCACTGGGCTCCTTCTGTGGGAAGACGGGCTGGGGCTGGAGCATGAGCATCCAGATGGGACTGAGGTCCGTTAAGGACACGGTCTGGACTTAATTCCAAGAGACCGACTCTGTATCGATTTGGATCACTGGTGTTAAGGCGTCACTTTCAGTTGTGTTTAATTTAACCAAACAATAAAAGACTCCATCCTGTCTGAGAACTGGTCTGATGGATGTTTAATTCCCAGCACGGAGAGGCCGAGGGCAAGGTGGGAAGGAGCCGGAGGACCGCGTGACCGAGTGCGTGTACATGGGAGTGGGGGAAGAGGGGAGGAAGCGAGAATGAGCACACACGTGTGTATCTCCAGGGCAGGCCCAGGGTCCAGCAGTCCTTTACCTTTGCGCGTCTTTTCACTCCTCTGAGACTCAGTTTGCTGAGCTGTACATTGGGCATACATAAGGCTGCCACGGGGGACTCTTATGAAGATTAAATGTGACGAGAGAGGTGGACCACATGGAACTTATTAAAGTTTTTTAAAAATCTCATTTCTCGTCAAAATACTTGTTTCCAAGGTGAGAGTGCCTGTGTGTGTACACACACATGTCACATATGAGTGTGTGTATCTTGGCCTGGAAGAGCACTAAGAGCTCGGGTTCTGGCCTCTTCCTGGGTACAAGTCTGGTTCTGTTACTGTGTGGTACTGGGCAAGTTGCTGAGCCTCTCTGTGCCTCAGTCTTCTCATCTGTAAAATAAGAATAATGACAGTAGCAACCTCGTATGTTATTGTGAAGAGTCCTCGAGTGCCCATTACAGGAGAAGCACTTTCATAAATACTTACTACTTTTTTTTAATCCTCACCCAAGGACATGTTTTTTTCATTGCTTTTAGGGAGAGAGGAAGAGAGAGAGAAACATCAAAAGAGAAGCATCGATTGGTTGTCTCCCAGAGCACCTGGACCAGCAATGGTACGTGCCCAGACCAGAGATAAGACCTGCAACCTGGGTACGTGCCCTGACAGGGAATTGAACTCACAACCCTTTGGTTACCAGACTACACTCCAGCCAACTGAGCTACACCAGCCAGGGAATAAATGTTTACTGCTCTTAGCGTCCTTATCAAATTTCACAGGGGGTGTTTCTCCTGAACAAGAGAGCCTATCCTTCGGAATACCAGGCTGTGGAAGATAATCATATACTGTATCCCTCCCCTGTCCTGGAAACAAACAAGCTAGAGGTCACGGAGGGGCCCTTTGACCCCTGGGGGTGTTCCCTAGGGTCAGGAGAAGAGAAGTTTGTTTGGTGCTGTAGTGCCCTCTGTTGTGAGAGAGGCTAGCTCGGCACAGTGGACAGAGGGAGGCTTGGGCGTGACTGCCCCACCTTGGCCGCCCCAGCCAAGGGGCTTGGGCGTGACTGCCCCACCTCCCCACCTCCGGGGAGGTCCAGGGCCCCTGCTGGGCCAGAGCACAAAGAAGGCATGCCCCGCCCTGGCTCAGGGACCTGAGTGCCAGGACTGCAGAGTGGAGACCACGTCGCTGGCGGCACATCCATCAGCAGACAGGAGCCAAGGGACTTAAGCAAATTAAAAGCCTGTGGCTGCCCTGGGTGACTTTTCTTTGGGCTAAATCACCCTGTGCCCTCTGCTAACCTTGCCTCTCAGGGTTTCAAATACACCTTTTTCTGGGGCAAAAAAAAAAAAAAGACTCTGGAGCTGTGTTTTGTAAAACAGGAGCAGGATGAGTGGGCTCCCTCCAGACAAGGTGTGCGAAGGTGGCGGTATTACTGGGAACAGTTTCCACGCCGTGTAAACACGCACACTGCAGCTGTGCTTTTTTGGGAAACCACCTGGGCAGGATGTCCTCTCCACGAACACGCCATCCAGTGGGGCGATCATCCTCCGATGAGACTCCTGTCACAGGATGCTTGCTAACACCTGCCAAGCGGCAGCCTTGTACTAAGCACTGAGGAACACAGTGTCTATGAGCAGGTGCCCTGCCTTCAGCCACCCAGGCACCCATTCATCCATCCATCCAACAGTATTTATGAATGGCCTACTGTGTGCCAGGAGCTGGCTAGGAAGATCAGTGCTTGTAATACAGGGTGATATTGCAGGAGAGTGAGAACGGTGGGGGGTTCGCTGCGGTTTCCAACAGCACCAGCCCCTCTCCTGGTCCCATTTTGGGCCCCAGGAGGCAATCTTCCCTTGGCCATCAGGCCTCTTTTCCTCCTTGTGAGCCTCTTGCTTGATGCCATTTACTGGTGGCACAATGAAGGTGAATCTCTGGTCCCTTCCTGCTGCTGCCTGGGGATTTTATCCTCCAGCTGGTGTGGACCCACGGGTGGGTGGAGTCGGAGTCCCACCCGACCCCGGCCGGCTGTCCTCTCTCGCGGCCGGGCAGCAGTGAGTGCAGACAGGAAGCCTCACCTATTCAGGTTTCACCTGATGAACTCTTGCCCGTCTACCTGCCTGGATACACTCTGAGTCTGCAGCAGGAATGTCCACACTGTGACGCCTGGCCTCGGCCTGGGAACTCAGACCAACGTGCTAACACGAGGGGCCTCTCAGCTTGATGCTGCTCCCCAGTCAGGGAAGCCCTTCCACGGATAGTTTAGCAGGGGGGACAGGTTTGGGCTCTGTGGGCTTTTTCCTAGGCCAGAGCTGGGGTGAGGGAGGGGCAGGGGGGACTCAGTGAGGGACTGTGCCCCGTGGCATGGCTGGATCAGTCCAAAAAAAGGTGTCGGGGAGAGGTGACATCAAACTGACCCTCAGCAACTTGGAGGAGAAATGGGTGGGGGGTGGGTGAGAGGGAGCAAAGAACAGCCAGCCGAAAGGAAGAGAAAGGGCCCAAGGCTCCAGTATTCAAGCCATAACCAGCCCAATCAGCCTGGCAGCCAATTAGTCTGATTCAAAAAAAAAAAAATTCCCACATAGGGACAAACTGTAATCAAACACCTATTTATAAGGGTTTATTACGATCATTATTATTATTTTACTGAGATCATTCTAAAGCCTGTCAGGTGAATGTTTGCTTTCAGATCTTCATAAATGCAAATCGCTCCTTCTCTGGCTGGGGGCGGGGCGGGCGGGGCGGGGCCCGGGGGCGGGGCTGCAGCAGGGTTGCAGGGAAGCCTGTAGAGAGGTGTGGGGAGGGCGGATGGAGAAAGCAGCCCCTGCCACGGGCCCTTTCTGCACAGGGCCACCCCGCACACGACTCAGCAAACACTCAGTGCCCCTGGTGCTCCCTTCGCCCCTTCTAAGGGCTGCTGGAGACGGAGCTGGCGACGTGCCCACTGGCTACCAAGTAAATGGCGCCCAAGTCGTATGCGGCAACCTGACAGAACCAGGGAAGCTGGGGGTTCTCTGTGGAACGCTGTAGAAAGAACACTGGTCAAGAGCCCAGCCAGTGAGCTGCGTTTTGAACCCAGCCCTGCCCCTGGCTGCGCGGGCCTTTCTGTGCCTCACTCAGCTTGCCATCTCCTGGGTCCCAGCCAGGGATGACATTACATGCTGTGAACTTCCCCATTAAACCTTACCCCCGGGGTAGGGTATTCAAGTGCCAGGGTACCTCTCCTCTCCTAGGGGACCTCCAGGCCCACAGCCAGGCATGAAGTTCAATGGTGTGTGTGTGTATCCAAGTGCTAGGGTGCCTCTCCTCTCCTAGGAGACCTCCAGGCCCACAGCCAGGTGCGAAGTTCAATGGTGTGTGTGTGTGTGTGTGCCTGTCGGTGGAAGGATAATGCTGAGATACAAGTCCCAAAACCCACTCCTCAGGCAGGTTGTGGGGGTGGTATTGAGAGGAGGCAGGGTGTTGGGCTTCCCAGAAAGTGGAACCCTGGCCTCTGCCAGGAGGAAACAACCAGCTCCTTACCCACTTCCTGCTGGATGCAAGGATATGGCTATTCTTGGAAGAAAGGACAAAACATGCCCCATTTCTCTGGGATGCCGAGGGGGGGGGGCATCCCTAATTTGGGAAGTTTCAAAAACACCTATGCCCCTAATGTTCCCCACGAAGGGCATTAGTGGGTGGCCAGGCCAGTGCTCGGGGGGCCACACCCTGCCTGCTCTGCTCCACCGCGGTTGGCACCGCTCTCACGAAGGCTATCCCGGGGATGGGATGAGGTGGAGCGGGATCGGATGGAGCCCGGCCTCCGCAGGGCAGGGGAGCTCGGTCAGCTGGGAGGTGGTTATGAAGCTGAGGGCTGCGAACGGGTTGTGAGTGAGGGGGAAACCTGGGGGGGGGGGCAGAGGGGATGGGAGGCAGAGAGGAAGGGGGTGGGACCAGGAGCGGGGAGCTCTCCTTCTCCCTGCAATAAATCGGCTTATCGGACGAGAACCGAACAGCCCAGAAAGGATTAAAGAAAAGTCTGTATAATACAGCGGAGAGCGTGGAGAGCTGGGAGAGGGGAGGGCGGGGAGGGCGGGGGGCGGAGAGAGGGGGAGGGACGGAGGGAGGGCGCCGGGAGGGGGGCGCTCGCGCCTCCGGGAGAAGCGAGCGCGAGGCAGAGGGAGCGCGATTTGGCTCTAACTCCAGCGCCGCCGCGGATCCGACTCCCAGCCGTGGTGGGTGCCGTTCGCAGTTGAGGAGCGTGGAGCCAGCGGCTGCGAGCGCGCTCGGAGGACGCCCGGAGCTCGAGGGTCCCAGCGCCCCGCGGAGACCCAGGCGAGTCGAGTCCGGCGCCCCGGCGGCCGGGCCGCGGGGGCATGGGGGCGCCCCCGCGGCGCCCCGCGATGTCCGCCACCATCTCGGCCGGCGGCCGGAGGCAGGAGCGCGCCTGAGCCCATGGCGAGGGGACCTGCCGCCGCTACCTCCGCCACCGCCGCTGCCCCGCCATCGCCGCCAGCTCCCGGGCACCATGCGAGCCGCCCCGAGCCTCCGCGGCTGCGTCTGCCTGCTGCTCGCCGCGATCCTGGACCTGGCGCGCGGTGAGTGCGCGAGCGCGGGGCGGGAGCCCCGGCTGGGGATGCGCGCGGGGGCGGGCCGCTCGCGAGGGGCGCGGGGCCGCTCCTGAGAGGCTCGGGGTCGGAGCAGTGGTCTTGGCAGGGTGGGCGGGGGTGGGGGTGGGGTCCGTGGAACTGGTGGGCTCAGAGAGGGAGGGAGGACGTCTCTTCTGGAGAGAGCGCTCTGGGTCTGTGCCAGGGCGTGTGTGCGTGTGTCTTTGTCGCGTCTCCGTGGCAGGGTGTCCGGGAAGGAGCTGAGTGTGAGAGGGCGCGGGAGTGTGTTGAGAGATGTACGTGTGATGGTGTGCGAGTGAGCGAGTGCCGGGAGGGGTGTTCGAGTGTCTGTATCGGCTACACGGAAAATGTGTGTGTGTGAGCGAGTGTGTGAGGGTAAGAGCGGGTGTCAGCTTCTCCGTGAGGGTGTGAAGTGTGTGAGCTTGTGTGATTGTATGTGTGAGCGTGTTAACGGGTGGGTGAATATGTGAGGTGTGGCTCTTCACGCGTGTCCCAAATGTGCGGGTCTTTTGAGGGGTGTGTGGCAGTAGGTGAGTGTATTGGTGTGGGGGGAGAGCAGCGTGCGTGCACAGCAGGTGAGAGTGTGGCACTTGGGCAGGAGTAGGGAGGTGCGGGCTCGTGGGGACTGGGCGTGTGTGTGCGCGCGACGGAGCGTGCAGTTCTAGCGGGGGCCGCGGTATAGACGAGCTGGGGGGTTGCTGAGGAGCTGTGGGCGGTGGTGCGTGTGTGTCCCACGCGGACTTGGTCCCAGCTAGGCTGAAGGAGCTGGGAGGAAGATGAAGTCGAGAGGGGTCCCCAGAGCTACCGATCTGTGTCTCCGCGGCTCCAGGGTCCAGGGTTCAGGCAGCCGTGGTGCCTCCCCCCGGCGCCACCGGCTGGTGGACCTTAAATGCAGCGGTTGTCGAAACCTGGCGACCCCGGCACCTTGCAGTCAGGGAGCCCGAGTATTGGCTGCGAGCCCAGCGGGAGGGAAGCAGGACCAGAGAAGATTCTCGGGCCCTGAGACTAGGAGGACCCCATCCTTGATTCCCCCTGAGTCTGGTGTCAGACTGGGCGCCCAGAGCCAACCCATCTGGACTCACAGCCCGGTTCCGCCATGTAGGGGAAAGGGACGTGGGGTGCTCAAAAGTAGCCTTTGTGATCAGTAGGGTCTCAGCCTTTGGTCCAACTGGACGATGGAGGTGTGTGTGTGTGTGTGTGTGTGTGTGTGTGTGTGTGTGTGTTGGGGGACGCTGGTGTCAACTCTGTCCCCTGCCTTCTGCCTTGTTGTAAGGGGTGGCGCCTGACCAGGCTCTGAGAATGCCTGCCAGGAAGAGGTGTCCCCTAGAGTAACCCCGCTCCCTTCTACCCCGAGGTCCTTGGGAGAGTGCTGGGTCTGCCTGCGGATGGGAGAGCTGCAGAATTTGAACCTGAATAGTGGTCCCGCTGGCAGAGAGCGGGGAGAGGCTGGCGCAACCCAGATGGAGTGCAAGCCCTGTACTTTGTCCGCCTATCCTTGGAGCAAGAGACTTTTCAAAGTGGATCAAAATCTACCCCCAACTTTGGGGTGAGGGTTCCTCCCTCGGATGCCTCTAGGGAAAAGGTTTTATGGAAAGGCGGGGTCTCTCTTGTCTCGGTTCCAGTGATACCGGGAGGGCTCCGAGCTTTGTGGAAAGGCCCCGGAGACCTGGACATTGCAAGAAGTAGGGGTTCGTGTTGGGGGCCGGAGGTTTGCACCCCTTCCCTCTCCGGAATGCTCGGAGCAGGGAGACGCGGCAGGAGAGGGGGTGACGGCGAGTGGTGGAAAGGCTTTGGTGCGAAACCCGCTCCATGAGGACCGCACCCTGCGAGCCCTGCCCGAATGCTCGTCGGGCCGCCGAGCTGCGGAAAGCTGACCCGGCCTCCTGGAAGCCCCTGTCCGCCTCTGCAGGCTGCGGGAGGCGGGATAGGGGGGCGCAGACGCGGGGGGTCGGCGCCTGTAGACTGGGAAGCCGGCGTCGCCTCTGAGCTCTACTGCTCAGGGTGGAGGAAGAGCGCCGACTTGGATCCCGGGTCCGAAACTTTCCGAGCCTGGGGCTCCGGTTGGGGGGTGGCAGGCTGCCCGGGTGCCGTCTCTTCTCCGCAGAGGTGGGGGTCCTTCCTTCCCGCTTCCAAGTCTGTGCCCGCGAGGGGGCGGGGATACCAGAAGGGTCCGTGAGGGATGCAAAAGGCCAGCTTGCCGGAGGAGGGCGCTCTTCCTGGATGTGACCAAGAGCCTTGCACCTGGCAGTAGGCTCTGCCGGGCCACCTGCCAGGGGCTGCCTTGGAGGGCGGGGAGGGTAGAATCTAGAGCAAGCTTTCAGAAACTCGCCTCCCCAGCGTGGGGCAATGGCGGTCTCCGCTAGGGAGGGGCATGGCCAGTGCGCCCTGGCCTGTTCTGCCCTTTTGGGTCACAAAGCAAGGCGGCTCAACTTCGGAGAGGTGGGTCTTTGCGCTGGGAGGAGAACGGGTCCCTTGGACACAGGGCTGGCTGGGCAGGACGTTCCTACCCCCGGTTCCCCATTGCCAGGTATCTGACTCCAGAGGAGAAACCCAGATTTCTCAGGTCTACCAGATCACCCAGGATGCCAAAGTGGCATTTTCAACTGGGCATTTCTGGGAAGGAACTCCTGCCCTTGGGCCTGTGCCGTGGCCCTGGGCGGGGGCGGGGCGTGCACCGGGGACTAGGGGTGGGAGCAAGAGAATGGCAGTGGATGGTCAGGCCCAGTTAGGTGGAGCCAAAGGCCCCAGCCAGAGGCCCTGCCAATTTTCTATTCGCAACCTCGCGTCAGCAGGTGGGTTGGGTGGCTACTACGGAGGCAGCCGCCTCGCAGACCGCCGGGGCTGCGCACAGCGAGGACTGGTGTTACAACTACGTATTTATCCTCCTTCCCCACCTGCAACCCAATCACCGGCAGGCAGGGAGGGCTCTTTCAGAGCTCTCAGCTGTGTTAAGGGGTCTGGCCAGTGCAGGCTGCTCCGCCCCTGCTCCCCCAGATTGGCCCCGCCCCAGATGCAAACTGGAGTTCTTCCTGAGACTTCGAACCTTTTCCTTTTTAAGTGCAGAAAATGTTAGAGCTGGAAGCAGCCTCGGAGATTCCTTACTTCAGTGGTTCTGAAACTTCCATTTTTTTTTAAAAGCAGGAGAACTTTCTTCAAGAAGGAACTGATGATCATGTCATTCACCCCACCCACAAATCCTAATTCCTTAGCCAAGATGATAGGCACAAAAGCAGAGCCACCCCAGTCCATGCCGCGATGAAACCCTGCCCCTAACAACCCTTCCACACCATTGTAGCTAACAATCTATGATTGCTCCTTTCTTGTATCATAGCTGGCTTTTGTTTTTTCAATAGTCTCCGTTACATGGATCAGCTACAAGGTGTCCAGCTGGTGGTGCTGGCTGCCCCACCGCCCTCAGGCCTGTGAGGCTCAGGGTTTTCAGATTCGTTCGTAACAGAGGAGTCCTGGCCCCTTCCAGTTCCCAGTACCTGGTCCAGCCCCAGGCTCCTTCTTTCCTTCCAGTGATCCCTCTCCTGGGCTGCTGAGAATCCGGTGGGCGGGGCATGTGGGCCGGGGCAGCAAGGCACCAGTGATACCTTAGGTGGGCCTGGCTACTCGGACTTTTCAGAGCATCTGTATCACACACGCTGGAACCCTACTACAGTTATGGGGGGATGGTGGTTGGAGGAGTTTCCTCAGGATTTGCTCAGGCTTCTGGTCCAGCAGTCTGTGACTTCAAAGGTAGAGGCCAAATAAAGAGCCGAACAAAGAAGAGGCTGGTGAGTTCCGCTAAACTGGGTTTCCGGGGATCTGTGTGGGTGTCTAACCTGTCCTACCATCCTGCCCACCCCTGCTATATCCTCAGGCCCCTTGAAATTCATTCGTTCGAGCGCTCGATGAATTTTTATTACACACTGATTGTGCACAAGGCACGGTGCTGAGCGTGGAGGCATAGTCCTGAACGCGGCAGGAGAGAGTCTGCCTTTATGGTGTTTTCAGCTTCGTGGAAAATGGATTCTTCACTTAGAGGAAGGAAGGGGCTGTCGCTCCGACCCCAGCTGAGCTCTCGCTGTTTGTCAGACGCCATGTGCTTCGTCGTTCTCATCCCCTTTAATGCTTACAGCCACCCAGAGAGGTAAAATTGGCCTTATTTTGCAGATGAGGAAACTGAGGCTCAGAGAGGTTAAGTAACTTCTCCAAGGCCACCCAGTCAGTGAGTGGCAACTAAAGATGTAGACACAGGACTGTCTGACGCTTTCTCTCCATGCTGTGCTGTCACCCAGGGAGAATGGCCTTCGGCCCCTTCCTCAGGTCCGGCCACATGGACAGTTGCAGTGTCTCCGATTTGCTGTCTGGATGTTGAACTCCTTTCCAAGCCCTCACTGAGATAGAATTATCCAGTGTGTTCATCTGCGCAGATGGAAGAGGGGTGTCCCTGAGAGCCTTGGTCATCACCAAGAGGATGAATGGGCATCTGTTGTGGGCAGGGCACATCTGCACAGAGAAAGACCTGAAACTGGGACCCTCATCCCCATGGGGTGAGAGGGTGGGCATGTTCCCGGAAAGATGAATGACAGTCCAGGGGGAAATTTGTTGATACCTGCTAGATGCAGAGGGAAGTGATGTCCCCTACAGGACGTTCTCAGGGGAAGAGTGATTACTTGGGTGTTCGGGAAATGCTTCGGAGAGGAGGGAGGAATTCAGACATGGAAGTAAAGGGAGGACTTTAATAAGCCAAGGGCTGTGGGGGGTGGAATGTGGCAGAGAGAGAAGCAAGCCTGTGTGAGCAAAGAGCCAGAGGCAGAAGCATGCATGGTGGGACTTGCTCAACTCAAGGCCGTCTCCTGAGAGTCCAGCTGAGGCCTCGGAGGAAGAAGTGTGGTATCACTGATCACTCCCATTTACTGCACACCTGTGAGATGCTCTTTACGCATTAAGTACCCTCGACAATCCACAAGGCAGTATTAGTA